TAGTCGATCCTAGAAGTCAACCATTCCTCCTTCCCTACTGAAGTTGCATATGATGCTTTGTGACCACACCTATGTGCCCAATTGGTAGGCAGTATGTGATATTAAGCGATTAGATTATGAAATCGAGATTTCTATCGCGTGATAATTGACGAGGGGACAGCCCGAGTCAACTATCACGCATAGAGATCCAGGGCGAATAATCTAATTGTTTTAGTATAAATCTACTAGTCATTCAAAAATTAATCTAAATCCTCTTCACAGACACTTCGGAAATGCCAGTATAAAACACTCGCCTGCAGCTCGTGTTTTCTACATTTCCGGTCTCGTGTTCTCAAACGCCCGTCGTGTTTTATCACAGTGTAATACACGGCTTAGGCTTCTTTATTTGTTACATAATATGCAGCTAGATGACGTCACAGGCGCTGATTTAAAAAATTCACTGTACGCTTTTGGCCAATCAGAAAAGAGATAGCGAGTTCAATGTAATATATAGATTTAGCTAAGCCTAACAGCGAAACTCCTTGGCAACATTTTTAAAAGCCCGATTAAGCTAACCCAGGATAAGCAAGAATTTTGATTTGAGTTTTGTAACTTTACGGTGAGGTGGTCTGTTTATGTTGTTTGGCCTTCTGTTTTGAGTTTCAATAATCTCAAGGTCCTCAAAATACACAAAACAAAAAGAAAAATTATACTTCGGCTAACTTTTATAATCCTGGGTTAGCGATGACCGGCTTCCAAGCAACCCAGGCCTAGGCCTGGGGTCCGTTTCTCGAAGGTCCCGAAAAGTTTTCGCACCCGGAAAGCCGTTGCAAAATCTCAAACCTTATGATTACAAAGCTGTTTTATTCACATATTCTTAATATAAACAGAGGTTCCATTCCGTACAAGAAGTTTCAGGCGTTTACACCGCTCTATCTTTAAATACCGATTAACTAAAAATGGTTTTACGGGCCCGAAAAGTTTCTGGGGCTTTCAAGAAACAGGCCCCTGTTTACAACAAGTTAACCTGACATGAGCCTGCGATCCAATCGAAAACCTGCACTTGGTCAGTGGTCAAATTCAAAGCAACACGTGACCTCGATGAGCTCTAAACTTGAGCCCGAAATATGGTAACGTAATACTGATCAGCAGACTCCTTGTTTTGACAGGTCTCAGTTGACGCGCCATAACATGGATGTCCAGTATCAAAAAAGGACGTTATAAACCAAGGTTGCATGTCTCTGTCAACCTATTAGCTGGAGCATGGCTGCCATCTTGCGCGACGCCGCCGTCGTCGTCGTGTGTACGCGTCCACGAGCAATACCGCTAGCCATGATAACCATGAGAAAATTGAATTCATGAGTTTCCTTGCTCCGCTTGGCAACCCTTCCGCTATAATAATAATTTCTAATTGGAGTAAATCACAAGGGACACAGAAAATACAAGTTGCGCGGCAAATTTTTGGCAACTTCTTGTATTCTTTTCGTTTCGATCTGCTTTCTGCATTTTTCATTCTGAGCAATTTCTAGTTTTCTGTCATTTCTGAGAAATCAGAGCAGCCCTTAGTGCTTAAATTGGTCTTGTTTTCATATTTCACAGTGTTTTAGTAGAACATTTATTAATTTACTGTGAAAAAGAAGCCAGATCTCCCTCTCAACTGGGGCAGATAATGGGTGCAAGATGCATGCAGCCGGGCTTCTAGGTCAGCGGGTTTTTTTTAAATTAAATATGGCAGACGAAGATTCACACAAGGTCAGCAAAATCTTTTTTTTTTTCCAAGCGATTATCCTCTTCACTATCTTCAATGCTATCATTTCGGAGTTTGGAACATGTCTGGCTCAAAATAATGTGGCTCAGGAGCAGCCATAACCCAAAGTGGTTAAAGGGCTCTTCGGAAGCCATTTGGACAAAATCTCTCGGACGGAATGACGTCACGAAAACGCGGCCTGGCTGCTGAGTACTGTTCAAAATGGCGGCAACGATGTTCGAATTTTGGGTTTCTTTGGAGACGAATTTCACCAGGAAAACCTGTACTTTAGAGGCTGAAACTCACGGTGGAGTGGCTAAACTTGGTGCAAGGTTTTTACTAGCATTGACAAAAAATATACGTTTTTTGGAGTAACCTTCTCCTTTAACTGTAAGCCTGGATCCTAGTTGCGATATCTTCCCAAGCTGGAAGTGCAAAGAAATCAGATTTTACACGTTGGTAGATATTTGTATGATGTTATAAACTATGATTATTTGTCATGTGATCAGAGTTCATGAACATTTTAAATCGCTTTCAAACTAAATTAGGCTCATTCAATAGACTGTTTTTGATATATTAAAATTCAGCTGGGCAGTGTGGCCTAGAGGACACAAAAAAAGGGAATTGAATGACATGTTTGTTCATTTCTTTTGTTTGTGTCCTTTAGGCCTCACTATTAAGCTGAATTTTAATGTATCGAAAGTGACCTATTAGGAATTATTTATCGTCAAGAAGAGAACTTTTTGCTTATGGTATCCACCCAGATGACGAATGTATATGTTGTGGTAAAAAGGACTCAATCGACCATATTTTTACCGACCATGCTTTTGTAAAAGAAAATTTAAAAGAGATTATCAGTTGACAGAAGTCAGTTCAATCCGTCCATCGCAGAGAAACTGTTTGATGTTACTTCTGAACCATATGGAAAAAATATAACGAAGAAATTTAACTACACGCTGCTTTTCATGAAATACTACAGCTACACTAAACATTTGCATGCTGGTTCAATCCAAAAGTTATCCAAAAGCAGTGTTTAATTTTCTTCTTATATTCAGTGAATTTTTAAGTATAAGAAATTATATGTAGATCTAACGTTACTTAACTGTTTTTTGTATTGTCGAAATGAATAGTGGTCATTAATAGTAGAATTTAAAGCTAAAAATTATTGATTGTTCACTGTATAGTTATTGTAAGTAGATGAATGTTAAATCGATAATTACGAGATTGTAAATAATGAAGCTGAGAGAAATAATGGATAGAAAAAAAATAAAAAATACAGTACTTACAATGGAAAGAAATTAATAAATTAACGTCAGTTTTTTATGCGTCTGTCCTCTTATTGATGATAAATTGTGTCATAACATTTTCAAAGTGGCTGTGGAACCACGAGCCGCAGGCGAATGGTTCCGCAGTAAACTTTGACAATGTTACGACGAAATTTATCATCAATAAGAGGTCAAAAAACTGACGTCAGTTTGTTTTTTACAATAACAAGACCCCAAAATGGTCAAATGCCGGGAATAAACGAGGGAAAAGACGCCGTAAACTTGCCGTAAACAAAGACAAGTGAATTTTATTCAAAATGACGCGAGCATTGTCAATAGCTTTTCTCGCTTTTTGATTGGCTACTTAATAAAGTCAATAAAATCCCATTGGTTAAAAAGTTGACAGTTCGCCAGCTGAAAGTTGAACTGCTGAAAACTTGCTTAAATTAAAATTTTATCCGTCTGTGCTCTTATTGATGACAAAAATGAGCCAATCAGCGCGTGAGAAATTAGACAGTTATTGTAAAGTTATTTATCGCTGCCTCGCCAAAATATGTAAAAGCAAAAGTTTGTGAGAGGTTTGGTGATGTGCTCTTTTTAATGACGTTGGCAGTTTTGTTTGTAAACTTTTCTTTAATGGCTTTATTAGATTTGGTTTTGACAGAGCGAAAGAGTAATAGCGCTGCTAAAATCAAACTTTTTTCCGCGATCTCACCTGCCAAACATTGAAATTTGAGGTATGGAACTTCAAGAATTGGCTACCAAATATTGGGAATTCAACATTTAAAATTTACGCTGCACTATCAAATATTGAAAATTCGTTATTTCCTCATCAAATATCGAAACTTTAAGTTTTTGAAATTCATGATTAGAATTCAATATTTCGAAATTCATGACTTGGAAATTCAATTATGGCAATTTAGGATTTGGTAATTCATGACTTGGAAATTCAAGATTTTCCACTTCAAGATTAGAGATTCCAGATTTGGCAATTCTAGATTGAGCCATTCAAGATTTGGCAATTCAAGTATGGCAATTCCAGATTTGGCAATTCTAGATTTGGCCATTCAAGATTAGGCAATTCAAGATTTGGAAATAAAGATTTTGACAGTTAAGATTTGGAAGTTAAGACTTGGAGCTTCAATATTTGGTCGCCAAATATCGAAAACTCAATATTTGGAAGTAGAAGACCAAATTCAAAATTACCTTGCAACATAAACTTGGGGTGATGCTGAATAGTTTTCTTTACTGGGTTAGTAAGCSTTGAAAAGTTTGTCATGTCATTGTAAGTTGAGAATCTCTGAATTTCCTCTTTCATTATAAACAATAAAGATTTTCTCGCAATAATATGTACTTTCGTTTTGACTTTTTTTTGACTATTCTGAATGGCGGATCCAAGATGGCCCCTGTTCCGAAGTTACTGAGAATATTTTTGAACGTGCTAAGTGCACACCATTTGTGGCCGGTTGAGGCAGCAAGCATTACACATCAGCAGAATACGGAAATTTCGAGCAGAATATGAGCAACATATTGCTTAGCCGGAAACTGTTTTAGTGTTAGTTTAGCAATTAAAAAAGGAGATAGTAACACTTATATTTAAGACGATGAACACGAAAGATAGAGAACTCAGCTCGAGTGTCACGAGTACCAAAATGCATGAGTTTTATTCCAGAAGCCTTACAGAAGCACCTGAATATCTACGTCGAGCAGAATTCGATAGGAATTATCAATTCTTTTACGAACCACGTATGGTCTAAATGTATATACCCGCAGGCATACGTTACTGACAGACAGACAGAAATACTCACAAACATTGAATTCACTGAGTTAGGCAAATTCGTTTTACCTACAGTCACTTATTAGTTGCTTTAAAAACCTCTTCAAAACATAGAAGAGTTATCTGTTTAGCAAACCTGGCCACATATTTTGACTTTTTAACGACTCTTAAAGGATGAATCATATTTAAAAATAAAAATATTTTTAAAACAAAGTTAATTGTGGCAAATACTTATGTTTGGGCGACATTGTTTTTAATTTCAAGAACGCAGATCGCGCATTTACTAATAGCGGAACATCAAAGTTCAAAGCCGCAAACAAATTAAATTTGTCGTTAAAAATGATTGATTCTTGGTGAGAATTCAATGATGTGGAAAAAGATTTAATCGCTTCATTTTTTTAGTCTGTTATTGTCTTGCAGCAGGATTTGGCAGGGGTCTCCGAGCATCGTTTATCACCGTTGATAGCTCCCTTATTAAGTCAATTAATAGAAATTATCAGATTATCAGATTTAACTCTCATGCCAGAAACGTTCTTTTTCGATGGCTGAGGAACGGCAGATGGGAAAAAGATCCTATTTTTTTGGTCCTCAACTATGAAGTTTTACCGCGTTTGAACAACAGAAAAGTGCCTAGCGCTTAATTGGAATTGCTGCCTTTGTTTCGCTCTTGTTTTGTCATAACAAAGAAATCGGTATTAAAGAAATTGTATAAACAGCTCAATATAATTTGTCGCCAATGGCAGTTAAATAATTTCACGCTTACTTGCTTTGTTCATAATTCGTCGATTATTCCCTTGTCGTGGGGGCGATAACCCAATATTTGCGATACTCTGCCACCATCCGCAATTATTTCAATCGCGCTTAATTAAAAAACGGCGGCTTGAGTGAGAGCTTTAATTACAAAATCTAATAAAACCGAAATGAGCCTACTCATTTGTGAACGAACTTCAATTAACTTATTCCATGCGTGTTTAATTATTGTCGGTAAACTTAACACGTTGACATGAATGTTATTTGGTTTACTTTATTGTAGCATAAAGACGACCCTGATCTATACAAACGAAATCACTCGCACCTCCATATTAAGAATTATAGGTCTTGTTTGACGAAAGAAACGACTGGAATAGATCGCCTTTCTAAAAGGCACGCTATTCTTCACTTAGCTTCTTTATAAATCGTCTTTGTTAAAGGCACCCCTTTCTTTGCTTTTCTTTTTTATCCTTATTTAACAAACGTTCTTTGCTTTAATCTTTTTTTTTTTTGGTGACTGTAACTACGCTAAAAGATATTTATTCTAAATTTGTTTCTCGCAAAGAAACCACTTAAGCATATTAACACGCAAAGGAACTACATCGTCTTTAAACTCGACCACTAGCGACGAATACTGTGATACATGAACAAGGGCCTTTTACCCTCGTGAAATTAGCAACTCATTTTTCTGCGATTCGTAAAAAGAAGAAAAAGTAGATATTTAGAACACAATCTTTTTAAAAGACCTCTAGACACGAAGATACAAATCACTGCTCGGTTATCAAATGCATGAAAACTGCACACGACAGCTGTAAATCTTTTTTCTCTACAAATCCGGCCCTTGCCTAAAATGGGGGTGGATTGAAGTTTGACGGTGGATACCCTCCAACAGACTGGTTCGGTGGAGTTATGCACATGGGTGTATGGTATATCGTGAAGGGTGATGGTTTAATATGACTGGCGTGAGTCATGGAGTTGTTGAAGAAATACTTAGGCCTGTGGTAAACCGGGTGTGAAGGGTACAGATAACCTTGAGCTGCTATGGCGTACTCCATCTCAGCGGCCAGCTTTCGCTTCCATTTTGTCCGACGGTTTTGAAACCATATCTTGATCTGCGTTTCTGTGAGCTTCAGCGTTTTCGAAAGCTCCATTCTGCGTGCCACACTGAGGTATTTGCTTCTCTGAAATTCACTCTCCAGGGCTTTGATTTGTTCGTTAGTGAAAGCAGTGCGTGGTCTTTTCTTTAACTCCGAACTCTGCTTTCGTTCAAGAGTATTGTCTTGCTTTAGCATTGGTGAGCCTGTAGGTATAAGACAAACCCTAGATGTCTTAGGAATTTGAAATTTTAAAAGCCCTTATATTCTGTGTTTTGCCTTTCATACTAAATTGGTCGTTTCTCCTTCAATTACCGCCTTCTTATTCATTCTCGCAGCCTTGCTTGGTTCTCTTTCAATTTAAAAAGCCGGAATAGTTTACACAGAAAGCTACTTGCGTAGCCTATAATTTAGCTTTCACTTAGTTAAATTCGCCAAATTACCCGTTCTCCGGGACAGCATAATATTTGGCATAAACAAAATATCAGCTCATTCACTCACAACAGATTTCAAATAAACATTTCTGAAAGGGCCAGCAAGCATCCTTTATCTAAACCTCGGGAGGGATCCAAGATACTTGAATTATCTATTGGGAACCGTTAACAAAGTACACGTGGTGTCTTCCAGCGGAAAGCGTCACTGTGCGTGCTGTGTATAACAAAACTGATCTTTTAGGCAGAAGTAAATGTCTTACTACCTTGTTAGGTGGACCATAATTGTTTTCAGGCATACCTGACGCGGGTCTAACACGCATACCATCGACGCGCGTCGGACAGAATCGACATCTTAATCACTCGAGAGTTAATAACTTTACACTGCTTTTTCCTCCAAAGCTCATGATTCGCCTATTGCATTGAAGCGAACAAATATCATGGAGCGAGAGGCGATCATTTGAAGAAACTCTCGAAATCTTGATGCGATAAGTTATTTCACCAGGTAGCATGTCTACATTCATTAACAAAAATGAGATCGATTAAATTCATAATATGACTAACGATGATTAAGCACTTTGCCCCTTGATTAAATTTGTGTCAGCGTCGATTTCCGCAAACATATGCTGCTTACCTTGAGCGAAGTTATCTTCGGAGTCTAATTCATCCGTTGCCTTTGCAACATGCTTCTCAGACTTTGTTGTCGTTTCGGAGTTCATTTCCGGCCAGCGCGTTTGAAAAGAAAACTTTCCTGTCGGTTCACACGGGTTCTTGTTTAGAATGTCTGCAATTGAAAAGCTTCCAGATTTAACTGACCGATATCCTGTGTTCCTATCCATGGCCTTCAAGCCCTTGTCAATTTAGTACGAGTATACGATAATAGACGAACCCCTAATCGCGGCTCTGTTTGTAAGAGTCTCCACTCGCTTCAAACGACAGCACAAGATGATAACATAACTTATTTCCCTCTTTAGTGGACCTCAGGGTTCAGTGTGCAGCGCGTGCCGGGTGTCGCGCGCCAACCAATGAAAAATCTGACGATTATTTAAATATTGTAATGAAGAAAAGTCCGCATAGAACAAAAGCCTGCAGACTGGTGTTATTCACGTCTTATACTTGAATTTATATCCATGAATAAAAGGAAACAGCCCTGGAGAAATCGCTAGATGTTGTCTTGTTTAAAAGTAGACCCAATGGTAGAGTATTTTTCACATGCAATCTGCTGTATTTGACAAATCACGACCAGCGGAAAGTCATTTGAGAACGAGGATAATCACACTATTCGATAAACTCTAATTTTGAGACAATTCTTTTTTGGTTCAAAAAAGGGATGTTTACGGGTTTTTCTTCTAAATATATCTAAATACATCTGTAGAAACAAGACCTTCCCAAAGTGAATAGCTTGCTTAGCATGTATTTTGTCAAATTTCGCCTGAGGAAATGTATCAATGCATGTGAGAAAAGAAAGGATGCCAGAAGGGTCTTCTGCCAACATGCGCAATATAATTCACAGCAGGAAGCCACTGCTAAACACAAGAGTTTATTTCAGTTCGGTTTATTAAACACCGGCATGTAATTAGTCTGCAGTTAAGGGCGATCAACACATGTCAAAACGGAACTGCATGGCTGCTTAACCTCTTTGTTTTACAAGAGTTGTTTAGGTCTTCTTTTATCAGATGTTAATAACAGTATGATTTTAATATTTTACATCTGCAGAAAGGATATCATCAGTGTTAATAGTCTCTCAACAAACAACTTGGTCCCTTGCAATTCTAAAAGAAGACAAAAAGCCCCAGAAGGTGTTTCCGAATGTTCATATTTTGCATACTTTTTTTTCAGACAATGGCTTATTCTGTTTCCTAAATAGTCTTTTTTTGCACTTCTCAAGTTTTTTGATGCGTCGTCTTTTCAAAAAGGGAACTGCGGAAATTGATATTTTCTAAGCGAAAGAGGGTATTCGCGACCCAACTTTCTGAGTGTAAAATAAATCGTACTCGTTAAAGTGCGCGAGTTGCCGTCCACGGTTCTCTGCAAAAATTTATGACACTTATAACTGGTCCATGAAATGACTACATGTGATATATCACGGGTCTCTCAATTCAGAGCTAATGGGTAATGTCTTTGATTAGAGGCCTAATGTTAATACTGACTCAGCCCCACTTCTAAGAATTCATGCACAGCTACGCTGACTCAGTGCGAGATAAAGTAAAGCCTTGAAGCCGACCGGCTCATGGCTGCCGGAGCTTATCACGACTAGGAGTATTTCTACTCCCCCTGGACGGGATGCTAGTCCATCGCAGGTTACTCTCCCGTTATTTGTTAAGTTTCCCCAACAATTCGCCGGTACCCATTTATACTCCTGGGTAGAGAGAGGCATCGTGAGATTTAAGTGTCTTGCCCAAGAACACAACATAATGTCCCCGGCCAGGGCTCGAACCCGAACCGCTCGATCAGGAGTCGAGTGCTCAGTGCGAGATAGCACGCACTTTATGGTTCTGTCGAAATTAAGCTTGTGTAAACGTGAAGCATCAGAACTTATCGTTATCATTATCATATGGCTACGGCCCGGTTGTCTGAAAGCCTCCTCCAGTCCCTCCTATCTTTAGTGGGTCTTAACAAGTTTGATAGTCTAACGTGGTGACTGAAGCATACACTAGATCCCCTCATCGTCACTCGGACTAAGAAAAACTAGGCCTTCAGTCGCTTTTTGCAGTTCACTCTCGTTGATTTTTTGTTTCATTGAAACAGATCTTTTACGTGCCCCGAGGCACACCTGCCTTTTCTTAAAGCAGTCTACGGAATTTGGCAAGCCACAACAAAACGCCAGCGGGAATCATGGCTGATAATCATTTAAATTTTTCTCGCTACGCGAATGACACTAAACTCGCTTGGCTCTGTAAAAATAGAAACTTCTCTGCTTTTCACATAACTATACGATGATCTAATCTAGTGTTAGACGCAACATTTCTTGTCACTAACAAAAATCAAATCCAGTTTGTACCATTTTTATCTCCTTCCAAACTTGATTTGAAATAAAGGACGAGAGAACCAGAATTTTCATCCCCTGCAGAAATGGTTTACCAAAACGCTTTTATACAAGTCGCTTCCAAGTCGTTAATTGGGTAGATTGATTGTTGGTTATTCTATGCCTGTTTTGACTCAACACAAGTTCTTAAGCTCAACAACAGCGGGATCACACTGTTTGCCCAGTGGAAAGGATGAATGGCCTCTGAGAGGTGATAGATACGCAGCCGTTGTAGCACACAGCATGAGAAACTCTCGCTCAGCAGCCGACGAATTGGCACCGGTGAGCCGACGCGTTTATTTGCTTCGCTTCTAGTCAACACTATCTCAAAGGCCCGCAAATCAAAGAAAACATCTCGACAGGCAGGTGCTTAAGATGGTAGTAGATAAAATTGTAAGGTGAGTTGTGTAAACTATTTAACATTCGACAATATTTATAGTTTAAAAAAAGAAAGGACTGGATTCCACAAATAATCACGTGATTACCTTGAGGTTGATTGTTTTCACGATTTGGGTTTAGTTAGGAAACTGTGAGAGTATGTCGCGCTACGATTCAGCTGTTTGTCAGTATTGTTCAACTCAGTCATCCCATGAGGAATAAAAAGTGAGAATCGAACATTTAGGATTAGATGACCGTCTTGCGGGTGGACACCTTGACCAGCTTTAGGAATGCTACTTTGATGCTGACTAAATTGATCGGGGGCAGTAGTAGATGGAATGGGAAGAAGAAGAAGAAGATAGGAGGGGGGTGATAACCAGCGCTGTTATTAGCCGATTGACCTTTTCTAACTTTGTCAGTGATTATTAGTGAAAGCAGCCAAACAGTTAACTGTGCAACTGTATACACTTACTTTCGTAATCCTCTACGTCCCCTGTGGGACATAAGGCAACTGCGTATACCTGTCTGAAATTTTCCTGCGGTAACTTGGTTTGATTCATTGTACTTGGAAGTCAATGAGTCCATGGCTACTGTATTTTGACAGGCATATTCACCAAATTTGTAATTTTCTATTTTCGTAATAAATTTAGCTCTCATGCAGTCGTTTTCCCCTTTTTAGGACTTTTTATTGTGTTTTATTGTTTGAATTGGCTTCGAGGCATTTTGGTGGTTTTAAGACTTTGTCTGAAAAATGAATCCAATTAAGATGGCGGATCCAGGATGACGGCTGTTTGATCCACGAGCTTCCATGATATGACTTCACCGTCTCCTGTTGCTTATCTCAACAAAAGTTTTTTGGACCTACAATGAACCCTCCGAGTCTCATAATCTTTGCTTCAATATTCTGGACCTTACGGTGGAGGTGGGATTCCACGTCCACCGATCGCAGACGGTTGAAGTTGAAACTGGTCATGCAGAATAATGTTAATTTACAGAAAACTGTAAATAATGTATCCTAAATACCGTCAAATACTATGGCGATGGATGGTGAACAAGGTCAAACGAGATGAATATACACTTAAAATTACAAAATGTATCCTGATTTTCATCGACATTCTAACTTCTTTGTTGTTTTTGTTTTCTGTGTAGCTTTGCGAACAAATATTTGTATTTTGTGTTTTGGCTCCTGAACCTGTCCGACTCAATACGTTTTGATGTCTTCATTCTTGGAAGTTTGGGAGAACTCGAAAAGCTGTGGAAACATTAAAAAGTTCTCATTCTTTCAAACTTCTACGAGTGTTTCTATGACTCGATATAAACACGGTACATGTTTTCTATTTCTTATGTATTGAGACATTTCGAGGAGCAGCCGTGACTGTCTGAGAACACAAAACGGCCAGCAACGATAATCCCGCGTGCTCCTTGTGGCTTCCACTATATTTGCTTTGCATATTATGTCATTCATTTGTATTTCCAAACGTCATGTCATTCATTCTATCTCTCACGTTCTGTCACAGGATAAGATGAACTCAATAACTTGGCTTGATGGGTCTTAATATCTCAGTTGGTAGATAACTGCAGCGCTACACATACCATGCTCAAATTCAAGCTCGAATCCTGCTGAAGCCCCGAAATCTTTGAAATTTTCAATTGCTTGAATGACGATCACGTCGGTGATGGTCGTCTCTTCACCATTACATCAAATTGATGTCGTCAGTACTGAACTATAATTTGGAATTTGAGTCTGAAAATAAAAGGAGAAGACTTAGGTTTAAAATTCCTTTTAAAATCGAGAAAAGATTTTGCTGCCTAGTCAGACAGACAAAAACTAGTTCCGAAAAGACTGGAAAGAAATCGTGCAATAGGTTTTGAAGGCATTGAGTTCAAGATTTAAGTTTCACGTCGTTGTAAGAAACGCACGCAAACGCAAATGTTGTAAGCGAAAACAAAGCAAGAAAAAATCATGAAAAAAGAGTCAATATTGAAGCTGCAGGGTTTACATAAATATCTAAACGTCTAGTTATATTTCTTTTTTGATATAGCCTACTCTTTCGCCAAAACTCAACATAATCTCAGAAATGATAAACTGACATTTTCTCCGGTACCTCTTCACGATTCAGTCGGCACGAGATTTGAAAATCGTCGCTTAAAATACCCTACTAGACTATACTACGAAACACTCGAATTCGAAATAAAATAGCTTCCAATGCATGGAATTAAATTGTTTTAAATTAAGATGCTTTTAGTGTTCCATATTCAAGTGTTTAGAACAGCTTTGCGGTCTTTTCGTGAACGGCTTTATACATGCTTTGAGCGTAGAATGGACAATGTGAACGTCCACAAAATTACATTCAGGTGTTAAATCACGTTAAATTAGTTGTTCTTAGCTGTCAAGGAGTAGTGAATAAATTTACATTCTTTTTCGTTTGGAGTTTTAAAGCTTGAGGTGCATTCTAAAATTTAGAATTTACCTTATAACTCATTCATTCACAACGCGGACCTCAAGAATGACCAAAAATATAAATATGTTTAAAACTGATGAATTTCATTAGTTTAAATAATTAACTATCCCCACTTTTCTTGTCTTTTTCAGGACTTTGGGGTTATACGAAATCATTGCTATCGCAATGTACTCCTTGCCTATATTCAGTAAAAACGGTCTTTTCTAAAAAGACACAACAACTTGTAACAAGTATACTTGATTCCTAAGCACGTCGTAAATTTGTTTTTATTTGTACATTTGTCTTTTTTTTCCGATTCTACATTTCCCTTGTCGATGCTGAAATTTTATCAATGTACGTTTTTTTGTAGATATTGCAAATAATAACAATCTGAAGAAATCTGAATCGTATTCAGTGGTGAATAAACTTGGAATTGTGAATTTCGCGAGACTAAAAACTGAAAAAAAAAGGCTTATCATCGGCTCTTGTTTCCAAACCTGATAAAATATTGCCACTCACTCACCACACAAAACAGCTCCTTCTCATGGCCGCTTTAGCCTTGATGTGGCCGCATATTAACATTCGGACCAGTTGGTCATATTTGTTCTGGAGGATTATCCACATAAAGTCAAATGGCTTTTGCAATATTTAAGCAGTTTCTTATTCTTGTAAAGAATTCTTCCAAGCCTGTTATTAAAATATTGGTGTATCTCACTTTTTTCCAAATGCGAAAATTCTTCTTTTTGTAGTCTTGTTTTTTTTTATATAATTTGGTAGGAACAACGAAAACTATCGTATTTCGAAGCGTGACGCATATACGATGCGAAATAAAAGAAATATATCATTGGCACAAAGCACACTAGCAGGTCCCTGTTAATCACGTTACACGAAAACTTCGAGTGCGCTATTCTTATAAGGGGAAGATTGATTCGAGTTTAAAAAAAGTTATTATGCGGAAGAACTGAAAGCATAATGTCATTTTACTGCGAGGCATTTCCTGTTATTCAACAGTCTGTGGGTTCAGGTTCCTGACCAATCAGGAGAATTTACGTGTCCTAGGTGTAACTAAAAGTTATGTTATCTGTGACACGCGGCCCTTCCTGCGATCATCGTCATCCTGCGAACAGCTTCTTTTTCGCCAAGTCAAAAATTATTTGCTCACCGCCTCTCCAGTAACAGACCTGCAGACTGTCCATATATTAGGTAGTTTGTTTTTACTTTTTTAAGGGTGGAGGATTTTTCATCCCCACCTATCCTGAGGAGATTTCAATAGGTTCAACGGTTTAGTTTCAAATAAAATAGTCATGCTCGGGACCATTTATCCCAAACAGCTGGGTATCATTCTTTTCCTACCTTTATGCTCCGCCAACTGGTGCGAAGCCTTGTGGAGCTCTTGATATATTAATTCTAAAAGCTATTTCGCACTAAAATTTTATTTTCATTTCTTTTTTTCTAATTGTTTAACTTCAAAAATAATCCAAGGGAAAAACTACTTTTTAACTGATTTGAGGTATTAGAAAAGTGATTATTTTATAGGAGCTGGTCGTCGAAGTCTTCAATAAATACTATTACCCACACTTAAGTTTGTAGCCAACAAGACCGAAAATAGAAAAAAAATAAGAGAATAACGCGTAAGGCCCGCGATTATAGCTGAAGTTGTATCAACACTAGAATGTACGTCATTGAGTATTGCATTTCCTATATCCTTTAAAGAGGAAACGGAAGAAGGCAAATTAAAACGTATTATGAAAAGTAAGGATGAAGATGATATGTAAGAGGAAATACCACAAGTTATTACGTTCGGGTACTTTTACTCGACTTGATTAGCGTAGAACATGCAATTATAAGTATAACCAATTAATTCTAACCAAAGAACGCAAAATGAAAGCTTTCAAAAGCGAGTACACTAGATAAATAGAAGACAGAAAAATGCACCATTACGAGAAACACTTCTCGTGCATAAAAATATATGTTTCAGAAAAGGATTATATATGGCTTTTATAGCCCTGATATCTGCCTTTGATATTCTGGTAATACCTTTTGCAGAACTTATTCGTCAAAATTGTCAGCAAATAAAAAAAAATGTATTTGTTATTATTTAGTCCGATTAAAAAATGTTTACGTTTTTATCATCCATGCTGTCCCCTAAGACAATACACAGTCAAGAATACGGTTCTAAGAAATTGTTAAAATAAGTGGAAAATATGGCAAAGTTGAATAATTTTCTTTGAAGAAACACAAATTATGCAATGAAAAACAAGGCTTGTAAAATATCAGGGCTACGATCAGAGAGTAATCTTTAAGATAAACAACGACCAGCCTGTATTGATAAAAGGAGTCAATGTTGCAAGACTGGTTAAGAAACATGTCAAAAACGAAACACAATGACTGTAAAGCTGATGAATTATTAATTAATGAGTTTAAGAAGACTTGTTGAAAAGCGGAGCCACATGGTCAAACAGATATGAAAGACCGAATCTAAGTCAATGAATCGAATATTCTCAAAAATAAATTATTTCTTTGAAATATGTACTCCACGTCGACAAACCGTTGTGAACCCTCGAACTAAGTCATTCAATCAAGCATTCTCAAACTTCAGTTGTTTCTTTGAAAGCCCAAACAATGAATCGCGGAGGGTTCTTTTAAGGAATAAAGTGCTGTGGGTTTAAAATCAAATATGTACGGAACTAGTTGTTGTAGTTTACCCATTTCTCTAGATGTTCTCGATTCACCTTCTGGCATGAAAGACTGCCGAGACAACGAAACACTTAGCATGTGAAAACGCATCTGATATTGTTTGCCCAAGTTACGAAATTCCATCTTCCGAAGCCACGTTCTGAGATCAGTGTTAATAGTGCTCGATTCATAAACCATTTATCTGCAGCGCTTGAGATTCAGGGACTCGTAGCCAAAAGGTGGAATAGGCTTGCATAAAATATTGCCTGTTTGAAATTTTTTAAGTGTATTTTTGGTCAGACCCAGTAGTCAGTGATAAAATGTCACATTAAATTGGAGTCGAAGTTGCGAGAGAGAAAAAGGTTTCTTTTTTGAATAAGTATTCCAGCGATTCAATCGTCTTTTGCTATACGCCAAAAAACTATTCTCTAGCCACTTCTCTCGTTAATTCAATTTGATTGAAGCTACTAAAACTGATGGTACGTAAGCAAACAGTTTATGAATCAATAGAAAAGATTCCAGTTGCAAAACAAGAAAAATAGAAAAAAAAAACATAAAAGAACAAAAAAAAGACTTAAATTTATGCTCTAAAGTACTGATATAAAGCTCCTTCAATGTGTAAATTTACGTGACATAAATGCAATCCGTCACAACGTTGAATTATAGTTATAATCCTTTTGTATTGTAGTTAACCTTTATGATTGGTTGAGTGGTTGTCAGAATGACTGACTGATTAATAACATTTTGCAGGTTGTGCAGACAACAGTAGACACTGTCCTTCTTGGGCTAGAGCAGGATACTGTAAAGGCATGTACGAATCGTTCATGAAAAGAAATTGCGCAAAGAGCTGTAAACTATGCGGTGGTGGCAACGGCGAGAACAGTGGTGGATCGAGACAGTGTGAATACAAACCCAGTGTTCGAATTGTTGGTGGTGCCTGGCCGTGGCAGGCGCAAATCAGGACACTCAGTGGATTTCCTTTCTGTGGGGGAACTTTAGTTCATCCACAGTGGGTTGTCACTGCTGCCCACTGCGTCGTGGGTAAATCCCCCTCAAACATTCGTGTGAGGTGAGTTTGGCCATTTTCGTCATAAATAGGGTATGAATTTTGCAATCTAGTCTTGATTTGGATAGGCTTTTTAGAAGATTCTACTTTTTCATCATTATCGAAAACACTATCAACGAAAGCCATTCACAATGCCTTTCCCTTTGGTCTGAACAAGGTAACTAATTATACGGCAAGTCTGAAACATGGTATTGATTAAAGGATCAGGTCATAAATAGGGTGTCGAATTCTTAGTCAGGTCATAAATAGGATAGGGAAATTCAAGATTTTGGTGATAAACTGAGGGTAGGGGTTTTGAGAAGCGGGCCGCACACCCCCACCCAATTTTTCTGGGAGAATCCCCCCCTCTCAATTTGAGTTTAGTGTATGCTTAGGATGCTTCTCAATTTTTCAGACTTGGAGCTCACAAGCGCACATCCAATGTTGGAATCGAACAGGATATGAAGATTGAAAAAATCATTTCTCACCATAGCTACAGGCGACCTTGTGGCATGGCTCACGATATCGCCAAGTTGAAACTGAGAACACCCGCTAAAATTAACAAGGCTGTTAACCCAGTTTGCATGCCAGGATCAAGTGGAAAAGTTGCAGATGGCAAGAAGTGCTTGGTCACAGGTAAATTCAGACTAATCTATAGTGGGGTTGGAACATTTTTTCAGAGTAACACAGTATTTAACAGGTCATCACTGTTTTCGTTGCTACGCGACCTTCGAAATCAAAATGCTCTTTGCAATAGACTTCCGTCAATCAAACGGTGGTAAAGAGACGGCTATATTAACCAGGATATAGTAATTGCACAGCCAGTCTTTATGATTTATTGATTTTGTATTTTCAAAACATTCCTCGAGTTGTTCATTTACATGAACAGTTGTGGGTTTGCAAGCAGACTGATAAATCTGTATTTATTTGAGAGGGAATGCAGCTAATTTCATCATTTCACGGCAGGTTGCATTATATTGGTTTGACGGTAATTGTTTTTGCTTTCCTTCTTTGTCAAGGATTTGGAAGATTGGCCTCAGGCGGTTCATTACCTGGTGCCCTCATGCAGGTCCAAGTTCCAGTTGTCTCAGATACCAAATGTTGACAGGCCTATGGGTCATCAATCCACGACTCAATGGTGTGCGCTGGGCTCGACGAGGGCGGTAAAGACCCCTGCCAAGGGGATTCTGGAGGTCCCACGGTCTGTGAAGACAACGGAAAGTTCTTCCTGGAGGGTGTCGTGTCCTGGGGAATCGGATGTGCTTCACCAGGGAAATATGGCGTCTACGCGAGGATCCGTTACTTGAAGCAGTGGATTGACCAGACGATGAATTCATATTATAATAACATGTAAGAGACAGAACAATAAACCAGTGTTCAAGCAAACGAAACACTTGTCAGTGTTTTTTCTTTTTAATCTTTAAATAAAAATTAAGCATCTTAATTCTCCTCCGTTCTATCATGATCAGCTGTCAATATCCGGACTTGGGTACGAAGAAAATAGAAACAAAATTTAACGTTGCCTTGAAAAACGTGAAAGACGGGCGTGCAAACACAAAAGGGTCGATTATTCGAACAACGATTGAATATTCATAACTTTTTATTACTAACGCACAGTGAAATTTTGATAAGTTTGGACTGGACATAATGGTAAACCCTAAATGTTCACAGTTTCTGTAGCCTGTTTAGCAAAGAAACAGGGAAATAAAGTCCTTTCGTTTCTTCTCTAGCCTCCGTGAAAGGGTTGTTTGTGCGTTTTGAGTATCTACAAAAACATCATCAGAAAATGGTAGCTGGAGTGGTGTTCTTTTTTCTCTTCTTCTTCGTTCTGGCTAGGTACGTTATTTGTTTCAGGTTATTCGCTTCAGCTCTTCAATCGCTTTTGTTTTGTCTGTAGTGGCGACCTCGATATATATTTTTTGCAAAACACCTTTCGAAAATCTCGAGTATTCTCTTCTTAAACTTTCATGAAAAAACAAAAATAAAAATAAATAAACGGGTCATCTTTATTTACGTGGATACATGTATTTCTACATGTTCATCGCCTATTCGTGTTCTTTGGTCACATATCACACAACGAGGGGACATTGGAAAAAAAATGTATTTTTTTCAACCGTTTGCGTGCAGTCAGAAAAAAGTTGCAACGTTTCTAATTCTGACAGCCACGATATATGTGCGCCATGATATCACAAGGTTAAGGGCCGTAGCGAGTAGCAGGCTCGCCTCAGTCTTTTTTTGCCATCATGAAAACCCTAAATACCTAAGACGAGAATTTAACCATACACGTTGCCTTTGTTATAATTTTTTTTTCTGGCTACCTATACGGTTCGGAGATTGTCCTTGACTCCGACGTTTTACCTCTCGTATTCTCTGAAATATATAAAGTTGCATCATTCAACAATACTTTACCTCCACATTTCAAGAGCCTCGATAACACTCTGATCAAGAGATCGTATCTTGTTGAGTATAATTTGTTGTGTATATACGTTTCACTGAGATAGCAAGAAGGATTGATTACGTAATGTTTTTCCGTGCCCTAAGATCGGCCAACATTCACAATCGGCAGTCTGTTATCTAAAAATATTTTCTCAGCTTATACACCGTGGACCTCCTTTTCTAAAAGTTTGAAAGGAATCCTTAAGAGGTTAGAATTCTCCTTTAGTGGAACAGTTCCCTTTTGTATTCACAACACCTGAAAAAAGACAAATAAAAACTCGCCAGGCACTGTTATTTAAACAGCTTTCATAGTATTCAGGGTGCAGATTCCTGTTCAAATAAAGAATGCCACGAACAAAAATGAGGAAAAAATCATTTGCTCGAGTTATCGAAAAATAGGCCTGTCCACAAATATCTGGACATTTTTGAGATATTGAGAAGTTGCCGAGATATTTAGAACGTATTAAGATATTCATAGCTTTTTTCTGGCCTACTACTGTGTTTTGTTTGTTATTTTCTTGAAACAACTTTGAGTTCCATGCCAGAAACAATCCAGCTCAGCTAATTTCCACCTGATGTATTCCTTATCATTAAAAGCGTTAAAACAGCAATTTTCCAAAATGGCAGATACTGGTGACATCGAAGCGCCTGAATCTTCTTCCTCATCTCTTACTGCTGAAAGAAAATTTTGAAAAAGTTGGCCTAAGTGATTCAAAATCGGTGCATTTTTACGACAAAAATAAGAAATATTTAGAGGGGTTTTTGAGATATTTAGAACACTGTTTGTGACATAATTAGAATATTTTTTTGAGAATTTCCGGATATCTAGGCGATTTTAGTCGTGGAAAGGTTCATTGAAAAAGTATTTGACGAATAAATCACTTACAAAAGCTAAGATATGTGTATATTGTGTTATCTCCCCTTTAAAAAACTGGGCTCTGTTTCTCATTTATACCGAAAGAAAAATTGCATTATATTTCCCATTAAAATCTCGCCCAAGAAGCCGCTCTGTTCCTGTTGATTATATGCAACAGTATGGGGGAGAATTGTTGAACGGAATATTGCAAAATCGCCGAGGTTGAGATACTTCACTTTTATGCCAGTTAAAGTTTGCAGTTCATAACTGCAGACAACTGAAATCGTAAAAAATGAAAAGATGCGACCTATTTTTAAATTATTAGCGTGACTGGCTGCCATTTGTCATTTAATTAACTGAAACGCTTGGCCATGGATGTTCTACATATAAATGAGCACGTGCGAACACGTACAAGTACGCGCGAAAATCGGGCTCGATTGCCCGCCCTCTCTAACCCTGAAAAGAAAACGACAGATAACCTGAGTACTATTTTCAAGTAATCGAAATTCCAAGATTTCTCGTACGATCACCCATTATCAAGTGCTTCAACACGGAGAAGTTCTAATTATTACGTTCGTACGAGGATCTATACAATTCTGTTAATGAGTTATTATGAACATTGTGGAATAAAATGATTGCAAAACAGTTTCTGAATCTAGAGAATAAACAGCAAATGTTCATTTTCCAATAAAGTAAAGAAAAATGAACGTACAGCAATAATTTTCTGTTTACTCATTTCAAGTGGCCACGGGAAAAACATTCACCTCATAAAACTTTAACCTAAAAGTCATATTTTCGTTGAAGGAAAACCTTAACATAATGGTCTTGTTTTGTTTATAAACTTCACTTACAAATCGGCTGAAGCTGGGATATAGTGACTAACAAAGTACAATTGTATAATGCCAAGTAGGAAAGGTCCGGCAATCTTTTTCAAATTTTGTTGTCGTGTCTTGGGAAAATCGTTAAAAACTAATTACAGTTTCATATTTCTTCGACAATTGACTTAATATCTTCATTTTGTTGTTCTAGTGGCAACATTTCGCGTGCGAGCGAAATTTCGATGTCATAATCTAGCGCTGCTTTAATTTGACCAAAAATGCTCCCTAATGTGCACGAGGCTGTCTCTTTAAGATTTAAAGATTTCATAGGCTGGCTATACTGGTCTGCCCGTAATATTGTGGTCACAATAGAAACAAAACAAAGAGCTATTATTGTCAAACTTTGAATAACCATCAAAGTATATCACAAAAAAATTGCAAATAATGTCCAATTACTATTTATCCAGTTTCCAAACTGATAATTTTGGCTGGCGAGAAAGCAAACAGAAAGTTTGTTTCAAAAAATGACATGACTGATGATTTTAAATTTTTAAGCAACAACATCAGTTAATTTAGATTGCCTCTAAAAATATTTAAAAGGCCTTGTTTACTAAAGAAAATACTGAATGGACGGTTACCCTAACGCTCTTACCATGAATACTCCGGAAAGTTGAACGATTTTAATTTTTTTGGTACCCTTGTGAAACTTTCAAGGCAGGAGAAAACGTTAATCACTGTCTGCAAAAATAATTTGCTTAGACATACAGATGTTCTTTAATCACGTCTTTTTACGAATGACTGCAAAACAAAAGAAACTTATATTTGATCGCATATGAATTGAAAAGTTGTAAATATTATTTCAAGATCCAAAATTTAATCTTCTTGAATCATATTCGGAAACCCACTTTGATGACTATTCACGCTTCTTTTTACCGATTGTGCCTTCTGTGCTTGTTCAGGATGAGTCTTGCATTCTTAGTACTCAGCATATAAGAAGACTAACCATGTATGAAGTTTTCAAACTGATACTGCTTGCATTAGACAATGCATTCGTCAGTGGCACTCTGTGTTTTGGGCGTAGCAGTCTTGGCCGTTTTCGCACAAGGTAACCAGAGATTTAATTACAAAACTGATAATAACGATATTAATTATGTAATCATGATTTTTTCAAGACTTCGTTTTCGCCTAATTAAGTGATGTAGACAGCGTTTCTACCGAACTAAATCTTCTCCACGCTCGTAAGTAAACTTTAGCTTGGATAATTTGAATACGGTTTGAGTCAGGCTCGATCAGTAAGTGCTAACTTTAATTCTACTCTTGTCATGGACCACCTAGTGCAAACCTATATCAAAATTAAGGAAAACGCTAATGTTTGTTTTATCTGCTCCTTTAAAGATTCTAACTTAAATCCGTTTATACGTACGAAGGTTGTCAACGTGTACGATCTAAGATCTTATCTGGCCAAGAATTACCTGAGCAGATCGAGGCAGCGATAGGCCCATCCCTTCTTTCAGTTTCCTAATTCGACTTTTAACCAAAGGAAGCGGTTCAGGTGTTAAATTTTTATTGTAGTGAATGTGCGTCACGCTTTTTTGCTGGGTGGTAGCCAAGTGGGAATTCGGGCTCTTTTTTCCAGCAATTACCACAAAAAAATAAGAAAACTGCTGTTCATATCGGTTTTTCACAAGTTTTTCCCTGGAGTTTTTGGGCGGAGAAGGGTGTAAATTAAATGGAGTGTCACAATAGCCAGTTTGGGGTTATTAAGCTTAAGATAATCATCTTAAGGCCTTGTTCAAGGTTTGCAGAAATCAATTTGAGGATTGAATATATCAAATAAGAATTGGCCGGCACGGGGTAAACGCTCTACTTCATTTGGTACTCCCCGTTTTTGTTCTTTGACAATTCCCCTGGTAACTGTGGGGTGCAGAATTAAGCCTCGATATAAAGACCTTTTACTGGAGATCAATTACGGCTGCCCTACATAAATATAATATTTTTAGGATGTGAGGATAAAAACCGAAATTGCCCGCGCTGGCAACGTCAAGGGTACTGCAAAGGCAAATACCAAAAGTATATGGAAGAGAACTGTAAGAAGAGCTGCAACAAATGCGGTGGCGGTGGAGGCGGTGGTGGTGGTGGATCAGGAAAATGCGGATATAAACCCAGATCAAGAATTGTGGGTGGTACCGAGGCCCCCAAAGGAGCTTGGCCTTGGCAGGCATTGATAACATCTCGGGGTTTTGGATTTTGTGGAGGAACTTTAGTTGATGAGCAGTGGGTTGTCACTGCGGCTCACTGTACTGCTGGTAAATCTGCCTCAAGCATTCGCGTAAGGTGAGATATTAATTGGAAGATAACCTGAAGTGTAGCAGCTCTCGTAAGCTGCTCTTGTTTTATTATTTTAGCAGCTGTTATTGTTTTAGGGCTAGTGGCATTGTTTCTGTTGTTTGTTCTGTTGCTCCCTTGAAGCCGGGTATCGAGCCATTCATGTGAGACCACATGACCCAAGATTACGTGCGCTCAGGTTAGTCGAAAACTCAATCGCCAACCATTGCTCTTTTCAGAACTACCATCACAGGGACGATCACAATATACACAGCCAGTTAACACTATGTTTTTGTTCGTGCTGGATATGAGAACTGTGTATCATTTGTTCTCGTCTCCAGAATTGTCGCGATCCTTTTGAATGACTATTACTCTGTTCGGTGGCATACGTTCATTCAATAATTATGTCTGTGAAAATATGCTCTTTCATATATAAACATTATTTTGTTCGTTTGGTTGTTCTTCTGAATAGATACATGAAATTGCTACTATAGACAGGAGAGAAAGAAGAATAGGAAAGGAAAGTCAGTGAATAGGAGGATGAGTGATAGCTTTCACTGGTGTATGTTTCTAAATTTTGCAGGCTTGGAGCTCATTATCGAAACAGCAATGTTGGAACAGAACAGAATATGGAGGTCGAAAGAATCATCGATCACCACAGCTACAAACGACCATACGGCATGGCTCACGACATCTCCTTGCTGAAACTGCGCAGTCGCGCACAAATAAACCGAGCTGTCAACCTGGCCTGCTTGCCTGGATCAAGTGGAGAAGTTTCAGATGGCAAGATGTGTTGGGTTACAGGTAACGACTTTTTTCAGCAATGCTTTAATTAACTTGGTCCACTTTACTTCTTTGTAAATTCCACCTTCCTTCAACCGAAATCCATAACTCGCAAGCTGGCGAGTTCAACAAATGTGATTAATGTTCAACCAGCTAATTCATAAATGTGTGATCTCACTATAGCTCATCCACCCCTTATTTCGTTGAAATAACATCACCCAACGTTCTTTTCACACAAACTTTTTCAGGATTTGGAACGTTGTCTTCAGGTGGCTCTCTAGCAACCAAACTCATGCAGGTTGAAGTACCAATCGTCTCTCAAAGTAGTTGCAAAAGGGCTTACGGCTCATCGATCCACGACTCCATGGTATGCGCTGGTCTCAGAGAGGGAGGCAAGGACTCGTGCCAAGGGGATTCAGGGGGGCCGTTGGTTTGTGAATTCAACGGAAAGTTCTTCCTCGAGGGTGTTGTATCGTGGGGAAGCGGATGTGCTTCACCAGGAAAATATGGCGTCTACGCACGGGTCCGTTACTTGAGGCAATGGATTGGCAGTACAATGAGCCGATATTAAATACATACATGTACATGCCTGTAAAACGATCAATAAAAGGTGTTGGACAACGAATCCACTGTTTGTCTTTATTGCTGAAGTTTGCGTACGCCTTGCTGGGAATTTCTTGTAGTGAGTGACACAAGAAACGTTGTGGCCATATTAATTTACCCTGTGTAATATTCCGAAAATATTCTTAGAGATTTCTAGCCTGCCAAATCACACCGGCTGGGTACAAATTTTCTTTCTAATAGAACATTATTTCAAACTATCGTTTGAAAATTAAAGGTTTGATCATCGATCACAATAATATGAAAGTGGCGTTTAACTCCATTTCTTCTTCTTCTTCTTCTTCTTCTTCTTCTTCTTCTTCTTCATTACCATCTCCTTGTTGTTATTATTATTATTATAAATATAATCAATGTTATTTATTTATTTATTTATCTATTTATCTATTTTAGATTTTAGTTTTCGTTTTCTTTAACATTGATGGAAGTGAGTTTAATTGGAGCATGTAATATTTCTTTTTTAGCTTTTATATGGTATTTACTCAAAAATTAATTTCCGCAGCGTAAACTTGTGGAATTGTTAATGGACAGAGTGTATCGAATTCCTTTTCTTCAGTTGTTGTATTATTATTTTTAATTATTTTACCGGACGAACAGTAGAATTTTGGCAGAGCGACTCTAAGCTCTCAGGGGTTTAAGTATTTTGTAGCACATTGTTTCGTTCTGTGAATATTCCGCTTTGAAGTATACATTTTTTTTAGGATAATAGCATTTTTTATATGAATATTATTACAATTATTATTATTATTATTATTATTATTATTATTATTATTAATCAGGATTTGTCGTTTTTGCCTTTTATTTGCCATGCACAATCGACCACAATCGTGTACGTATTGGCTTTTCTAGACGTTAGACTCATTTTGAGGTTTTCAGAATATCGTTGTCATGGCAACGTCGATTTTACCAATATCTTCATTTAGGCGGCGGAGTCTTTCCATTCAAACCATTTCTTACCTTATTTTTATTCTTCTTTTCTGAAACTTAAATTAGTCTAATTGTGGAAGACATCAACCTTTGAAAGCAAGTTGGTATTTACCTAGATTGCAAAACTTTTATCCCCTAGTTCAGGTGTTGCGTTGCTTTCGGGAGGGGGGGTGGGGGTGTCACTATTTCGGGGAAGCGTTACTTTCGGGGGGCAGAAAACGTTATATAAAGTTGATGCCGCTGAGCGCTTTTTACGAAATAAAAGATGGAAATTCGTAAATTTGTCCCCTACCTGAAGCGACAGCCAGAAATACGTCTACATTCGAAGGCTAGTAAAACATGAGATTAAATTCTTTGTTCCTGTTTAATTTTATGTGGCTCTTCATGTTTAGAACATTCGACAGGAAGGCTAGTAAAGGTTCTTCTTCAAGGTGCACTGCTATGTTAGTCTGCTTGAACAATATCTCAGTGCGCTGGTCGAGTTTTCAATTTTAATTTAAAGAAAAGTTCTTCCTTAAATACGTTCCTGTTGAAAATGACACAGAGTTTTCAATTTTACTTTGATGAAAAGCTCCTGTTAGTGCGATCCTGCTTGATGCCTTACGGTTTTTGTTTTAAAATGGCGAAACATGAATGGATGAAGCACAAAGCAACCTCTCACAACGCTTCTTGGCACTAGCGATACCTCAATTCCCTTGTTTTAGAATGCCATAATTTTAATTTTCAAATAAAGTACTGTACGTAACTTTCAGTTGACTATTGATCAGAAAACTGGTACTTTTGAACCTTGTTCTCGCTATTTTCGGTGTTGGGGATTAGAATGGGCTAAATACTTAAGGGGGGATCGCTACTTTCGGAGGTCGCTACTTACGGGGCGGGGGTCGTTACTTAAGGGCTTTTCTAACGGCCACAATGTTTCGACGTTTCGAGGGGGCGCTTTTCAGTAACTTGATGTGGCTAGGATATCATGGTCTCTTAGCCGAATTTGTCTGCGATAAATACCTAATCGTACCTTTTTGACACGCTTCGGCGACATATCACGTTCGTCTAGTTGCGCCAAAATACGAACCATAGCTCGACCAAACTAGCCTGATTTGCCGCCGAAGCGTACCAAAAAAGCCATAATTAGGTATAGATATTGCTCCCAGACGTAAAGATAAAACATAAAAAGGTTGCTATCTAGATTAAAACGTAGCTATCAAAGTCTGGGTTTCATGCTACCTTCAATTGATCAATAAAGGATATTCTCGAAAATTGCCAATTGGAAATGTTTGTTGGATGAACCGTGGGTGAGTTGTAATAAAAAAAAAGATCCATTCTTTAATAACATATCAAACATGTAATATCACTAAAGATATCAAAATTTGTCCAGGTTATCCAGATGTGCTAAATTTGCAATATGCAATAAATCACTTTATTATATGGCTGGCTCCGTGAGCGGGAAGATGAATCAAATCCTTTGCTGTAATTGGCTACCCGAGCTGGCAAGATGAAGCTATCTTGCCCGCTCGGGACTACCCGCCGTGTCCCGCAAGAAAAATTTCCCCGAAAGCCAGATAATAAATCCTTTATTGCCCAAGCTTGTTCGGTCAAGACGGCTGGATATTGGCCTCGTTCTTATTTTGCTAGTTTTTGGACCTCGACTCCGTCCCGGTCCATAAAAACGGAAAAAAAATAAAGAGCAAGGCCAATATCCAGCCGTCTTGACCGAACACTTCGTCAATAACCCATATACACAGAAACAAACATTGAATCTTATTGCGTCTGAAATATTAACTCCAATATTTATGCAGGTCTAAAATTCTACCTTCTGTACTCACGCCGCGAATTGAACTGCGTTAACAATACTAGTTTCTGTTTACTAATTCTTCCTTCTGTGATTGTTCAGGATGAGTCCCTATATCATGACATCCACGATATAAGGAGATAACACAGAAAGTTGCGTTACTCTCACTGTCGCACCATGAAGTCCTCAGTGATGCTGAGCGTGTTGCTCCTTGCTCTCTTGGCAAGCCTCTCACATGGTAATCTTCGTATCCGAGATAACGGCTAAAATATCCATATCATTTATAGTATGGAGATAAATAATTCTCTAAACTTTTACTTTGTTAAAACCGGTGGTAGCAAACTGTTTTGTTTTTTTTGTTTGTTTGTTTGTTTTGTTTTGTTTTGTTTTGTTTTAACCTACTAGTGGATCACTACTTTATTAACGATGTAGTTGATTTTTGTTGTTTGGTAATTTTCCCGCGGCAGCTAAAAAGTGTAAGGAGCAGTATTTGATCGCTAAGCGATTCTCGCTTCCACGTTAAAAAATGGAATTAAGAATTGTTAAGTGATGTGAGCCATATTGACCGTATTTCCGTCCACTACTTCAAGATACATGGTTTCTCGCGGCGGGCATCAATCATGCTACGATAGCTCTGTACAATGAGTCTCAATTCTGTCCGAACTTGGCATCAGTTGCCTTGATTTCATTTAAGTCATATCGTGGGTTCTGTCTCATGCCTACTATACGTCTTTCATCTTCCATTTTTCGTTTTTCAAGGTTGTGAAGACAAGACGGTAAACTGCATAGATTATGTAAGTTACTGCAAAGTGCAACATTGGGTAGACTACATGAAGGAGAACTGTCAGAAAACTTGTAAGTACTGCAGTGGTGGTGGCGGTAACGGTGGTGGCAGTGACGGCGGCGGTGGTAACGGTGGTGGCGGTGACGGCGGCGACGGTAACGGCGGTGGCGGTGACGGCGGTGGAAACGGTGGATCAGGGGATTGTGGATACAAACCCAGCACGCGAATTGTTGGTGGTACTCAGGCCCCTCAAGGTGCCTGGCCGTGGCAAGCAATGATCAGAACTCCTTCTGGTTTCCCTTTCTGTGGAGGTACTTTGGTACATCCACGATGGGTTGTCACTGCAGCCCACTGCATCTCGGAAGACTCGCCCTCAAGCATCCGTGTAAGGTGAGTAGGTGGTCAGTGAAAGCAATGATCACACAGCAACACCAAGAATAATCTTTACAAAATTAAGCATTAAATTATGATAAATTGTATCCTTGAATAAAGTATGCCTATGGGCAAGCTATCCGAAGCGAAAACCCAACATGATATTTCACTGACAAAATTAAGTCATTTGAGTAGATCAAACTTTAAAAAAGAGGCTTGATCTTTTCATCCCGGCCAGTTAGATTTTCAAGAAAAAATCATAATTACATGCAAAAAAGTTAACTGTAAGAACGAAAAAAGTTGAAGCTTAACGAGGAAAAATGTGGAACGATTCATAATTCTCATACCATTCAAGAATTTCCTATCATTTCCTTTTGAAACACTCAAATACAATACTAATAGTATTAGGTGCTCATACAGTTAGTGTACATTATATTGTTAGTGTATTTTTGTAAACAACAACAACAACAACAAGAAACAATCTTTCATTTAAACACGATTTGATTTAAAGCAATAGGTTTGCTTGAGGAGTCGTTTATCGAGCTAAAAGTTTAAGAAAAACAGAAATATATGCAGCAATAATATAACAAATCTACAATTCTGACAATTCTACGATTCTACATAATTCCTTTTTTCTCTGATTCATTCATACTTTATAATTCTGTTTCACTTATAATTGAAAAATCATAATTACTTACATGAGGCATATTACCCCCTCTATGAATTTAAAACGGAGACATTTTGACTAAATTGACGGGAAGGAAAGGCTTTTTCATAATTTTGGTTTCGATTTTGCAGGCTTGGAGCTCACAAACGTATGGGCAACATAGGAACTGAACAAGATTTTGAAGTTGAAAGGATCATCCCCCATCACAGCTACAAACAACCCTACGGCATGGCTCACGACATCGCCATGTTGAAACTGCGCAGGCCCGCACAAATTAACAGAGCTGTCGGAATGGCTTGCTTGCCTGGATCAAGCGGAAGAGTCCCGGATGGCAAAAGATGTTGGGTTACAGGTATAATCAATCAAACGTTAAACTGCTGAAAACGTCTATTCGTGTTACCGGAGTGGCTGTATTTGAGTGTTTATTAAATTCAATCAATTGAAAACTTTCCCATGGTATACATTTACACTCTCATTGATCATAGCTCCCGACCTATGAACAAGAGTTTGCTTGTAATTAAAAAAATAACAATAAATGTATCTGGGTTTTAGTAAGTTACTGGCCAAAACGTAAAGAGTAGGTAGTAAAATAACGTTCTACTTTGTTTACATTCTGTAGACATTTCTTGCAGAGGGAGTCTACCACCAACAAATTTGAGAGAAAATAGGAGGGTGTTGGAATCACTCCTTGTCGCAATTTGGTCCTCTCCAGTCCCCTTTATTTATTTATCTGGCAAAAAGGCAGTAGTGGAGTGGGGAAGAGGGGTTATAGGCGATCCGGGGTTTTTATACTTTAAGTTATTTCAAGCCGCGGAACTTCGGAGTAATGCACCAACGCGGATTAGAGCCGTAGTACTGGGGCAGGCTTCGCAACATTTTTTGGAATAAATCGTCTTGTCTGCATAAACATGCAAGTTCGATTCTTTTCAAAGTTAACACTTCCTCTTTCATAAATAAAAGATTGCCATTGTGGTGTTTTTCCTTTCAGGATTTGGAACACTGTCTTCTGGAGGTTCTTCACCCAGCGTCCTCATGCAGGTCTCTGTTCCCATTGTTTCTAAAAGTAAATGCAAAAGGGCTTACGGGTCATCAATCCACGCCTCCATGGTCTGTGCTGGACTCGATGAAGGGGGCAGGGATTCGTGCCAGGGAGATTCAGGTGGACCCATGGTCTGTGAATTCAACGGAAAGTTCTTCCTCGAGGGTGTTGTATCGTGGGGAAGTGGATGTGCTTCACCAGGAAAATATGGCGTCTACGCCAGGGTCCGTTACTTGAGGCAATGGATTGATACTACAATGAGCAAATATTAACAAATTATTAAAGGCACTAAAAATAATAACCACTGTTTGCGTTTATTATTATTTAAGTCCTAGGACGTTCGGCCATAACTTTGATAGACAGCTCCCAACCCACAAATATACTATAAAGCAATTACATAAGACGAGAAAATTCAAATTACATCGACTATTTTGTTGTGTCGTGTCGTTATTTTGTTGTTCATCCGTGTCCTTGTACATTAACTACATGCACTGTTTGTCTGCTCAGTTTGTCTTTCTCAAGTTTCCCCTTGTTAGCTCTGCTCCCCTCTACGACAGGAGTACAGCATTCTTAAATAATTGTGTGTTACACTTGATATGCCTGTGGAATGGCTCACCAATTTGTCGGTCCTGTTCCATATCAACCAATTAAAGCTACGAACAGATTTTTAGCCGTTAACTAAAAAAACGCATTTTTCTCCTACCTTGCACAACTGTGGCCTCTGTCTCAAAACAGATGGGTGAGAAGGTTTATACACCATGAAATTTTTCATATTTGGTTGCCATCGTATTTATCTTACATAAAGTATTTACTTATTTCAGAACTGTGGAACTCCGGATGTATCAAGGTCGTTACCTTATTCTACGCTAGGTTTTTGTAGCCGTAGTTCAGCCGTTGGATAAGCTTTGATAGAGATGAATGTTTTGGTTGTAAATTACTGGCTAAAGAAATGTGTTCAAGAGATCGTCAAGCCCTCGTGAACGTAAACCTTCCAGAACCTTTTACATTGATTTATATTTAATTTACTCGAGTTGTTTTGGACATTACGTTATTGCCTTTTGGTGATGATAATTATGCAATTTCTGACCAAATTCGCAAAAACATGCCCGCATTGACTCAAAGACAGTCCTACCGGCCAGAAGTCCTCTGACCACCCCACTGGCTAGGAGAATGGCCCCGTCACGCATGCACGTGGCATGGACCACTCCAGCAGGGTGCCATGTCAACACAGAAGCCTCAAACAAGGTTGCGCCCGAATCCAGGCGAAAACCTAGCGGGGATGTTTTTGCGAAATCGCTCAGATTTAAAGTAGGATAAATCCTTTTCTAAGGTTTGACATGAAATCAGACTCTAGAGTTTGACATGTTATCAACTCAGGTACAAAGGCCTTGGTTCAATGTTCTCCAGGGTTTCAAACCCTATGCACGTGACCACATTGGCGTGTTTTAATTTAAATAGTGAAATCATGCGTTTGCAGGCGGCTTGCTGTCAAAGGCAAGAAAGAAAGGAGGTTGTCATGATTTTGACTGTGTCGCGGGGACTTTGCTCAGTTGTTGAACAATGCTTGAGAGGCGCATGTCAAGTGGATTGACGGACCAGTCTTCTTGCTAGCGAGGTGGTCGAGGCATCTGGGACACTTAGGACTGTCTTAAGGTCTTTTGCGGGCATTTTCTTGCAAATTCGAGATTTGTTGATTAGATTAAATCTTTCACTAACGTTTCGCATTGAATCAAACTTTAGATTTTGATGTAATTAATCCAGCTCTGGTGAAAACAGGCTTCGCTCCAGTGTTTCACTGGGTTTTTCTGCACTCGGTCCGTACATCCTGACGTACCTCGATCAAAATATTGTCCTGTCCGGCCCTACCACTCAGTCAATAAGTACATATTATTTGCCATAGATATTTCTGACTTAATTTTCTCTCGACATTAATGACCAAAACCTTGAAAAAAAAAAGAAAAAAAAAAAACTGTGGAAACAACAAATTTTATCACAAAAATGGACAATTCCGGTTTGCATTTCAGGACATTTTTTTGCAGTGGGGAGTGGAACAGCATTTTCTGGAATTTTAGGAATAGTGGACAACCTCGAAGGTAACATTTCGAAAATTTACTGCTAGGAATGTCCGTTCCATTTGATTTTCTTCCCGGAATCTATTCATATGCAAAGGTTCTGCTTTGCATGAAAAAGAGCTTGTGTGTTGTCCATGTCAAAAAGAAAAAAAAAATGTTAAATAGTTTTTACAAATTTTCGACGATTTATCATCTATTAAACAGTTAACCTATTAGTTTGTTATCCGAATAATTCCCAGCAATTATTTTCTCAGCTGACAATTTGAACAATTTTTGGCGATCAGTAAAATTCCTTTTCTAGGGGTTAAGGCATTATTATTCAATTTATTCAAATTTAAGTCACACTTTTATGTTGTAATTGTAAAGATTCTAGAGGTTGCTGCTTACTCAAATCTTAAACAACTACAGGCCTGGGGTAGCGCGGTGCGAGATACTCGAACTCCACTTGGTACATTCAAACTATTTAATGACAGATCAAGTCCATAGATCTAGTTCACAACAGGTAGCGACTGAAGAAGTAGCGAAAACCAGTAAATCGCTAGTAGTGGTAGCAGATACGAATAGGAGTACTAGTAGTAGTCGTCCAAATAGATGTAGTAGTAGTAGGTTCGAACTGAAAAGCGACAGTTAAGAATACGTCCTACTTAGATAAGGCATAAAATACAAATCTAACAGGATAGAACAATCATAATAAGACTAACGAGATCACAGCGTGAAACAAATAGACGTGACAATTGCATGCTCAAGTGTATTAAGGCCTGACTGAAGCACGGAAACGAGGCTATAACAGGTTATCGCCATTT